GGGGTGACCGTTATTCATACTACGGCAATGTTCCTGCGTGGGACTCACTGCTACCTTGTATTTCGTACTATCGCACAACCAAGATAAATGCAGTTGGGAACGGCCGAGGGGAAGGGAATGACCGCTGGTTGATATACCCCACGAACTTTCTCTTTACACGCCAGTCAAGATGGCCGAGGGAAGGGAACGGCCAGTGGCCGATTACCCACGAAGGTCTCACCGCTATCTCGTTGATTGCCGCACTACCAAGATAGCCTAGGACGGCCGAGGGGCAGGGAACGACCTCTGTCGATATACCCAACGAAACGTCCACTTCTAGCTTAGAGCTAGCAGAGACGGTCAGGGAAAAAAAGAAAAACCTCTGTCAATAAACCCCCACTGTACGCGACTCGCTAGGCAGTAGCTCACTACGAGCTTAGGGGAAACAAATAAAAAACTGGGAACGGTCGAAACCGCTGTATTCCTGGAAACGTTTCGCTAGTCCCCTGAACAACCAAAAGTCTGACTTCCGGAACATGGGCCCCACGTGTGGGGCGACTAGCAGACCTCATGGAGAATAACCGTGCTTCTCTCCGGGGATACGACGCACTGACTCCCCTAAAGCCTTTACGAAAACAATGACGACGAAAAGGATTCCAAAAATAACTCGGGAGACGTACCTGTCTCGAGACGAGTTATGCCCAACGCCAGCTGGCTTGGGTCCCGTCTATGGAGTCATAAAAAAAAGGCACTGCTTTTTTTTCAAAACAATAATCATAAAAATGGTAGTTATTTTCATCAAAGAAATATATTATTAGATAACTGTAAAACAGAAGTAAACCGACTCAGCTAAACAGGGATTGCACTTGATCCCAAAGGGAGAACCCACGATGCCTACCCGGCACTGGGTAACCCCCTGCGGTGCCGACCTGGCCCGCCACACGTGGTGTCAGACAAAGGCTGAAAACCTGCTACGCCACGTGAAAAAAAAACGAAAGCAAAACACTCCGTCACTCCTTTTAAAAACTGCTTACTCAAAACTAAACTCAACAGAATCTACACAACTCACTTGGTTGATAAATTCTGTAAAACAGAAACTCTTAAAGCGAAAATCGTACAAAAACTCGTCAAAAGGCGAGAGCAGACCAGACCAGTTTTGATGCCATCGACCTAGAGTACCTGACCCAAAAAGTTAATTTCAAAATTTAGAAAGCCTGCCGCATGCATGACGTACGGTATGTTTAGAAAGCCCCTCCAGAGGTTTTCATACAGTTAAATCTATGAAGGTTCTGAAGGAGCAAAATTTTTGCTTCTGCACGATGCCGTCGCGAGAATAAAAAAAGGAAGCATAATGGCAGATTCATGACGTAGCATAATGGGTAGGCCCTGAGAGGGCGCTCGTTGGTTGATTAAATCTTTTAGCGTTTGAGCCTGTCGGCAGAATAAATATGCATATGTAGTAGCTATTTGGGTAAGTGAATAAAGTAGACTTGATATGTTCCTAAATTTGGAAATGTGTTATAGATGAAAATTAAATTGACGGCACGATGAAATCATCACATGACATATGACGGTATATTAAAAATGCATATTTTGAAGGCCAATAACACAAAAAAAAGAGGTCCAATTGGGTTGAAAGCTGGTATGTACCTAGACCGGGATGTTTGATAGATGAAAAAAATTAAGTGACTTCATGATGACGTCATCTTGGGTCACGTGACGTCACGTTAAAAAGTAATAGATGTCATCAGTGAAAAACAATATCAAATCAACCGTGAGAGACCTGCACTTGACATTTGCGGAATTGAAAGAATAATCCAGGGTCTTTCTTTTTGATAATACGTACTTGCAAAATCACGTGACCTTTTCTTCCGGTTAAAACCGGAAGTGCTTGGAAATTTCAAATTGGTATATAACGGGAACTTGCTTTCAACGATGTATGCTATGGCTAAGTTGTTCTTTACAAACATAAGTTTAGTTTGTTTAATGTAACCAGACTTCAGGCGTTGATTACTCAAAACATGGATTGGGGGTACATTCCTCATTTTGTGGTAAAAACAACCTGTACACAAAATGCTAATCATCCTGATCGTGTTCTTTACGCTGCTGATCGGTCAGTTCTCGAGGTCATATGTAGTCTAGTGGCATAATTAATCTGCGAATCTATTTACTATAATAAACAACCCATACGGCACTAAACTTGGCCTAATTAAACACTCCATAATTTCCTGACTAAAATCATAACGTATCTTTTAAAAACAAGAAGAAAAAACCTCTTTTTTTAAATTTTGCCCTATTTTCATTAAAATGGGTTTCAGCTAAAAACACTACATATCGATGTAATCATAAAAATGTAAGCAATAAGTTCAAACCGGATAATTAAAAGACATTCAGATAAAACTGTCGCATGCAACTACACTATCAAAATTCTGCACTCTGATGTATTTATAGGTTTGTGATTTCTATCTGCTTTTGATAAACACTGATTTCTAGTTAGATGCAAAAATCTCCACTTACCTCCAGTGCATCAGTGATTCCATGAAGTCAAACTGTGTACATGTACTATAGGATTTCCCAGCCAAATTTGTCAATCCCTTAAAACTCTTTTATCGGTTTAAATTCAAGATAATAAAGCATTAGACAAGTTCTTGGCTGATAACACAACATCTTTGGATTGCCAAAAACAAAGACCTGTTTGCATTTTTGAAAATGGTTTGTGCTTAAAAAGTGTCTTTTCGCTTTTCATCAAATTCAAAAAAGGAAAAAATGCATGCTTGCATTTCACAAAATGACCAGGAAATCCGATAATACATCTATATTACTCAATCATTAATCTTGCTCTCTTTCATTCAATCACTCGTTTAAAGTTGGTGTATACGTGCTGTTTGTTTTTACGAAGAAAAAATAGGTTTTCAAATGGAATTGATAAATTGGTTATGAGTTTTCAATATCACAAGAAAAAAATTGCTGACAATAACTAAATAATAAATTATTTTAGACTTTTGAGTGAGGAGTGTCATGTACTTTATTCCAATTTGAGGACATTGAGTTACAAATAACGTTTCGCTCAAAACTTTCAGAACTGGAGTGTATTGTCATGACTCTGTTAACCTGCAAATGCTAACAACCACGTTTACCACTATATTCCTTCAAACTTCATGCGTAAAACAAATTGAAATTTTGGAACAGCATGTACAGACCAACTTTAAGAAATTGGGCAGATAGTATGCTTTATCCAGGCACCTTCTTTTAAATAATATGATTTAACATTTGGATTGGATTACAATGTGTACCATAAAAGTTAGAAGAAGAGTGCCCGGGTGCAGATGGATTTTGTGTATGGACAACCGACTAGGGGAAAAATTATAATAGAATGAAATGAGTCAGACACACACAATGAATTCAGGTCACCTCAATACATAATTTTACATTAAAAGGACAATTATCGGTCAAATACACTTTTAAATACCCCGAGTCAAAGTTTAAACAAGCACAGAATGTGATATTTCAAAACCACAAAAACAAACTTTCAATAACAATTACAAAACAAAAAGTAATATACAGTCAAACCTTGTGGTACAGCAAAGGGTGATTGATTCGGTAATTATTTTTTCATTGAAATGTTACATGTAAGTTAAACTTTGCAGCTTTGGGGGGTTTTTTAGGTGTGTTTTTTTTTCGGGTTGAGGCTCTAAATATAGCGGTTACATCATCACCAATAATGGGTTTTCGGCCAACATTAATCAACGAAATAACCAAAAACTACATGCATACAATCAGTATGGCATGGTCTCATTAGTTCATGAAGCAAATAGTTCAATAGCCATAAAGCCAACACAATGTAGCACAGGTAATGACTGTTATTCTAATTTCAGTTCTGATGATCTCTTGACATGGAGATGATTTCTAAAAAAAAAAAAAGGATCGATAAATACACACCCTGGATGGATGCACAGTGTTTTAGTCCAATTCATCATCTGGCTCCTCTGTTGAATCACCACATAGCTCTTCTCATCTGTCCAAGAAAATTAGACTGGCAGGGGTATCGCATCGTCAAAACTTGATGTGCTCGGTTTTCTAGATTTCCAGACTTCGTTCCAGTAGCCAAACTTTACTCCATAACATTATTCCAGTAACCAAAGGCAGATACGCATAATAACATGCTGTTCATAACATAACTGTGAAAGAATGCCTTGTCTCTAACACAAAATGCACAAAAACCTCCTTTCCATGAAACTCTTCAACGAGTGACTTTTCCCGTTTATAAAAGTTCGCTTATCAGCTTATAATTGTACAAATTACTTTCAAACTCTTTTTTAATTTGATTACTTTTTAACCCGTAATCCACACAAAAAAGGGCAACAAACATGATTTGGGGTCACACATACGTCTGTACAGAAAAAGAAAAACAACTCAATTTTTGGAAAATAAACTTGAAAACGTTCAGGGAAAGGAAGTTTAAGCCTGGAAGATGTGCAAAGCCATTGTTGTGATCTCCATTTTATTAACATTAAATGTTTCATTTAATTCATTAACAAAAAGTATAATCATGACAACAAAATACCTGAAACCAATGACACTAAATACCAGTATGTATTTGTTGTGGTTATGGTTGCAGTGTTGTATATCCAGCAGGGAGGAGGAAAATGCCACCATGATTTTTATATGTTTCAAAATGAACCTCATAGTATCCTAATACCTTCATGCTTTGAAACACTTTAACAAGAAAAACAAATGCCACTTTTCAAGCCAAAAAAAAAATTAAAAATGGTGCTCCCTCGACCAAAAACTGGATATACCATTGTTCAGTTGTCCATACGAAGCTTAGCAGGGATGTAAGTGCAATCATCTCTTTGACTGACATTTCAATTACAAAATGTAGTTTAAACAAAGAAGGAAATCAGACAATCACATGAGCACTTACATCCCTTTCTGGGGGGTTAGGACGGAACAGGGATTCCGAATCCAGGCATGGTTGTACACTTAGAATTAGTCATAAAAACCGTAGTTTTAAATTTGTTCAATTACTTTTAGAAACTACATAACAACAATAAATCAGTCAAATTATTGTTATTATTCCCGATACTAAGTTTACCGCCCAATGTAGAACCATGCCTGTTTCAATCAAACAACTATCACTCCATCAACTCTATTCCCTCTCTCTCTTTACAATACCTTGGCATGCCTTGCTGATCAAGGGTTCTTCAGTCATGGAAAGCACCATTCAAGGATCCCGCTTGGGATGGGTCTGTGGGCAAGTGGCTTTGGTGAGACAGCAAGTTCAACACAACATGTGTTCTGTTTGGGAAAAGAGGAATACAAAAATAATTCAGCAATAAGTACAGACGCAATAGAAATAAAGCAAATAAATTTTAAATCAAAGGTCAGAAAAAAAAACATATCGATAAAAAATATTTTACAGTTTGGATCAAAAATTGGGCTGAAACAACAGTTTCAAAACAAGGTATCAACTTCAAAAACAATTGTCTCAAAATGCAGTGTTCGCACAGCATGGGCAGATTACTGTTGCTTTCTCCATGCTCTTTGACCAATTCCATTATTTCTCAACAAATCTATACTTTATGCCAAGAATTCCATTTATTATGTTTTGGATGTCTGCACCAATCTGTACAAGGGGTTGTTATTGTAGTAACATGAGAGGGCATGCCTACTGGATTATCTTTGTTTGAGCAGGGACTAGGGGAGGGGAGATGATCCCCAAGACATTTAAGTGAGTACACAGGACCGAATATGTATGTTGATGGTAGACTGTGGGCCAAGTTGGACAATCCTTCCATTTCTTTTTGAAAATCAGACACAACTATTAAGGGAATAAATGTGTGCTCCGGAGGTTTTTATCACTCTGTTTATTAGACCGCTTAGAGTCTGGGTGCTGAAGAGGCGAGGGTAATTATCAGCACCCATGCAGAAGCGGTCTTAAACTGAGTGATAAATACCGACTGAGCACATATTTATTCCCATACATAAATACCTTTTCGGTAAAAAATATCAAATCATTTGTTCAAAAAATCCCGATTTCGTTCAACAATGCTTTTTGAAACATCCGTCTAGCAAAATAATGGAGTGTTCAGCTGGCAAGTAAGATGTAAACAACCCTTTTATAGAGATTGACGGCGCGTAGCATGTTCTGCGCAATGTCGCGCAAAACGCACCTGGGGCATTGCGTTTTGAATTTAAAACTATAAAATTCTGACACGCTGGTAGTATAGCGCATGCCTACGTGAGGATTGTGAACATTCAACCAATGAAACGGTAAGAGGCACATATTTTTAGGAGTCTACATTTTATTGTGACACTGGTGAAGTGTTTAAGACCAGCTAGACATGTCTTAATCATCCGTTTAAGACTGGCCACGTGACGGGCTCTCGACCAACAGGAATAGCTAAACTGTCTGAGGTATTTATGAAAATAATAATAATCACAACGGAAATTTATACCGCGCTAGTATCCGCCATAAATTACGCTCATGGCGCAAACAAAAATTATATCAAATCAGAAATAACAAAACAATTAAATCAGAAATTCAGAAACGAAGAAAAAGCCATTTGACCGGACGATGGTCGATAAATGATGTAAACGTCAAGGCTGGTACTATTGGAGGTCATGGTGGCAAAACCTCAAAACTCAGGTAATCAAAAGACGTGTTGACTGAAATGTCCAGTGCCTTCCTAAAAGTACGCCAACTCCTCCTCCTTGCTTGCATGCTCTGGGTTTGTGTTTGAATTCATAACCACAAGGAGTTAAGTCAGCTATGGTTGCTTCATCGGATTCAGCTAACCAGGTTTCGCAAATACCCATAATGTCAAAATTGTTTTATATGACAAAGACCTGAAAAACTGTGGATTTGTTGCGAAGAGATCGTGCGTTAAGCATGCAAAAACTAACGTGATCGTCAAGGTTGGGGATGATAACTTTGACTAAGTTCTGATGAATAGGGTGGGATCTTGGGGGTTCATCTACAAAAGCAGGGTGATAACTTTCAGTAGGGTGAGGACGGCCAATATCACACGTATTGGAAGGCCATGTTTGCTTTTCCTACGAATACCACCCTTGTAAGCACGTCAAGTACGACGGCGAGGTGATGTAGATTTAGTGTTGTGTGTTATGCAGGGTTTCCTGAGAAGTTTAAGATTTGAGATTTCATGGCACACCAACCTGGATAGTTTGCAACTTTGGGAAGACAAGTCAGGGTTTAGACTGAGGAGAAAAGTCCGATCATAGGAATGTGACATGTTGGTCATCGATGCCGGGCCAGAAGAGGCCATTCTTATACCTAGGTGGTGACAATAGGATTATCCCTGCAACACCAGCTGAAGATTCACTCAGTTTGTTTTGTAGAGCAGCTGAACTCGATTGTCCATCTTGATGAGCCTGTATGAGATGAATGTCATGTCTTGTCCAGGACGAGTCAAACGGATAGTCAATAATAAAGGACGGTTGGTGGCATGGCGTTTACGTAACAGTTCCATACCTCAGGGAATGGCATGATGAAAAATTGCAAAGTTGTGCAAAATATGCTCCAAATCACAATGATCACAAGAGAATCAGCCTGTACCATGATGATCACTGAGTCTCCAACATTCACATGATAACAAAAATGATAAATAAATGTAACAGAAACATAAAGAAATGTAAAAAAAAAACAGAGCAAAAATGTGGAGCTGCCAGACACTAGCACTACGCACGTAATGGTCTGAGAAGTCACAAAGGATTCATGTGGGTATTCCAGATATAATGCTGTCATCTGCGCATGTACAAGGGGCATGGAGTTTGGACCAGGAAATCTTTAGTCCAGATAATGTTCCCTGCCAAATACCACCTTTCTGTTAACCTGGCTCTGACAGCACAGGCCCAATTTTGACGTGTTGAGTTCTATCCACCAGGAACGCAGTCATCCAGTGTACTGATCCAGGCCGATGTTTGTGAGTTTCTAAATGAGGATATGATGATCAATATGGTCGAATGCCTTTGAATAAACAAGCAGCAAGATCCGTACGAATTAACCAGGTTTGTCAGTCGCCTCGTACCATCGATGCACCATTTCCACAAGAGTGTCTGTAGCGCCAGTTCTAGATATACATCCAAATTGGTCAGGGTCTATTTTCTCCTTGAACTGCGCGGTCATCCATTTGAGTATGATGGATTCAAAAACTTTAGCAGCGATGGGAGTCAGTGAGATTGGTCTGAAATCCCTCTCTACTGACCTAGGTGGGTGTGACTTTGGCACAGGAACGACGTCTGCAGTTTTCCAAATGGTGGGAACTACTCCTTCTTCAACAGAACTATTAAAGATGACAGTTAGCGGAGCAGCTAAGAAGTCTGAGATGTCACAAAGGATCCATGCGGGTATTCCATCTGATCCTGTAGTTTTGTTGACTTTGATGTTATCCTAAGCTTTTTTCGTTGTACAGACGCTACATTCCAAGTAGGGAAGATCACTGCTAACAGAGACAAAAAAGTAATTGATGTTGTCCGCAAGTGCTTGAAGATCACCATTTGTCATTGTGTTAGCTATGCCCTGTAGACTGTTCTCTCTGCCTGATGACGCACCCATGAGCATCTTCACTGATATTTTTCCACCAGTCTTTAGTAGAGCAGTTCTCCAACGATGCGATCTTGACTGATAGAAGTTGTGTTGGAGGTGTAAGTTGGAGCGATTGACTTAGTAACGAAGCTTTCTTGCAACCTCAATGTTACCTGCCATTGCTCTCTGGCATCTCTGTACCAATTTCCCAAACAAATCGGTGACCCATGGTTTATCGTTGGTATGCTGGGTCACTGTCTTAGTCGGAAAACATGACGCCATTAATGAGTTCATGGTTCTCTGGTAAATGGAACTCCTGTCCTGGCAGCTTTCCGAGTGATACAACTCCTCCCATTCGATCTCAGATAATGCTGACGCAAAGAGGGCTTTCTCTCGCAAACCCATACATCTAGTGGTGACCTTCACTTTGTGTCCAGAGACGGGGCATTTGATGGTGAGAATAATACAATATTATGGTCTGATGTCCCAAGTTTGGAAATCACGATCGGCTTATCATAAACTAATGTGCGTGGGAAAAATGGGGCATTATCATCTTTTTCTTCCACCAACTGTCAGTGAAATATATCACTTATGCTCTCCTCGCCATCCTCAAGATTACCATTGTGATTTTTAAAGCATTGCATTTTGTATGAATAAATCTTAAACCTCTGAAAATCGCACAAGTTTGATTTCATCCACTGTGGCTACCCGTCCCGTCCCGCACTGTGATACCATTGCATATGCTAGCTATGCACCACGCACCACAGACTGTCTGTGTGATGCAGTGATTTTTCCGCGTCACAGGTCAATGTTTTAACCTTCTATCCAACCGGAAAAGGCTCTGATCAGCATTGGCCTAGGTGTTTCTACGGTAGTTTACGATTGGTAAAAGAGATTAAAATGCTCGTGACGATTTTTACAGGCCCTTTTCATCAACTTTTTAAATGAATTTTCTTCAAAGATATAGTTTAAATATAATAACATATTGTTGACAATTGAACAAAAATTGCAAGTTTTGTTGAAAAAGTATTAAAAAAAAGGTTTTCCGATAAATATGTCGATCACTTGACACATCTTTGGAAATAAGCATGTGATAAGAAGGTTGTCACCCATTCTTGGATCCCCAAATTGTAAATCATCTTATTACAAATTAGAACACATGGGGGAGGGGCAGATTCACAGAAATTTCCAAAAATGAGTCACATGGTACATCTTTGGAAATCGGATCTTCTTTTGTTTTCTTCAAATTGACAGTTACGCCAGAAGGGTGTCAACCATTCTTGGTTTCCCTAATTACAAACTTAGTACAAATTAGAACGCATTGGAAAGGGGGGGGGGGCGGGCGGATTCAAAGAAATTTCCAAAATGTGTCACATGTCACATCTTTGGAAATTGACATGTGAGAAGGTTGTCACCCATTTTTGGATCCCCCAATGGACCGATCCAGTAAGCCCCTCCCACTGTGCACGTGGGCAAAGTAACACATGCTCTTCTCCAATGCCACGCTGCTTTTTCCTTCCGCGCGTACTTTCATACCCGCGTGCATGCATGTCGGACTTAGTGCACACACGTCGGACATAAATCATGGCTGGGATTGGTCAGAATACCATGGGGCGTTGCTTACTGGATCGATCGGTCCATTGCAAACCAACCTACAGTAAACTCTGGCTAAGACAGTACTCTCGGGACCAGAGAATTTGTGATGGCTTACGCGAATGTCGGCTTCTGCTGCAAGACGTCATTTTGCCAACTTACACAAATACACAAATTGAATCACGGAGTGAAAAGAATAGATTGAATTAGGGCCTATGAGCATCTGTATCTGGATCATGGAGAAATTTCCAAATTTGTCACATGACAAATCTTTGGAAATTGGTTGTCACCCATTCTTGGATCCCCCGATTGTAAACCAACCTATTACAAATTAGAACATATGGGGGAGGACAGATTCACAGAAATTTCCAAAAATGTGTCACATGACACATCTTTGGAACACACATGAATCATCTTAGCCTTGGTCAATGCTCTCGTCGTTATTCGTCCCGTACGTGGTCAATCGTCGGCATATATCCTCACGCGCTATGCACATGCATGTAAAAATACAGCGCGAACAGCGACCTCATGTGGCCACTATTTTTTTATGCAAATCAGTTGGGGACAATCTCGAGCCTTGGTTCAATCGTCGGCAAAAGCTTATGTTTTTCTTTGTTTTGCGCTGGATTTCTAGCGCACGACCTCGTATGCGAATACAGATAAGTGTAGGCGGGGCTAATATGTGGAGTGTCCAATCACACTTTGGTAAATCCGGACGTCATCAAATTATTTGCAGCTATTCGCCTTTTGCGGACATGACAGGAACCACAGTTTTTGTGCATTGGTGCCTTGTGCAGAGACACACAACGTGTACGTGTATGGATTATGTACGGTGCCACGTTTCACTATGCAAGTTTCCACGCAACGATCGACCAATAAGAAAACGACATTTAAGGTCAGCTAAGGGTATTAACATCATGAGCACCACCCCCAAGACCTCACATGGACGATTGCACCAAGGCTCGGGATCGTCCCCAACTGATTTGCATATAAAAATAGTGGCCACGTGAGGCCGCAGTTCGCGCTGTATTTTTACATGCATGTGCATTGCACGTGAGGATATATGCCGACGATTGACTGCGTACGGGACAAATAACGACGAGAGCATTGACCAAGGCTAGAATCATCTATGGCAATTAACAGCATGCAAGGTTTTTACCCATTCATGGATTCCCCAAATTGCAAACCAAGTACAAATTAGAAGCATGGAGGATGGGCCAATTCAAAGAAATTTTCAAAAATGTGTTACTTGACATGCGAGAAGGCATGCGAGAAGGTTGTTCTCCGTTTGTGGATCGTAACAACGCATCAGGGAATTTACCAAAAAAATCCAAAAATGTGTCACATAACAAATCTTTGGAAATGATCTTCTTTTCTTCAAATTGACAGCATGCCAGAAGGTTGTCAACCATTCTTGAATTACATTGTAAGTACAAATTAGAACACATAAGGGAGTGGGAGGATTCACAGAAATTTCCAAAAATGTGTCACTTGACGGTAGAAATTGACATTATGCGAGTTTGTCACCGGTTCATGGATCCCCCAATTGCAAACCAAGTACAAATCAGAATGCATGGGGGAGAGGCGGATTCACAGACATTTCTAAAAATGTGTCACTTGACCCACGTCTGGAAACTGATAGCATGCAAGAAGGTTGTCACTCATTTGTGAATCCCCCAAATGCAAACCAAGTACAAATTAGAGCACATGGGGGATTTACAGAAATTTCCAAAAATGGGTTGCTTGACACGTCTTGGGGGGGGGGGGGGAAATTAGAACACATGGGGGGGGGGCAGATAGACAGCAATTTCCATAAATGTGCTTCTTGACACATGTTTGGAAATTAATTGACATCATGCGAGGTTGTCACTCATCCGTAGATCCCTAAATTGCAAACCAATTACAAATTATAATGCATGGGGGAGGGGCGGATTCACAGAAATTTCTAAAAATGTGTCACTTGACAAACGCTTGACAACATGTGAGGTTGTCACCCATTTAAGGTCTCATTCAAATGATGTTCAAATACAGACCAGCGGCATGCATCGGCATTTGAACATCCAATTGCATAACGCGCATCGGCCGCGTCGAAATTCGAACATATTTCAAGCAACAAGCGCATTTTCAACACTGCGCAACGCATGAAATATTGCGTAAAATACGCACTCCTACAGATTTGGAAGTCATTGAGCAAGCCCTATTGCAAACCCAAGTACAAATGCATGGGGGGGATCGACCGATTCACAGAAATTTCAAAAAATGTGTCACGTAACAAATCTTTGGAAATGATCTTCTTTTTTTGTTTTCTAATTGACAGCATGGCAGAAGGTTTTCAACCATTTGTGAATTAAGTACAAATTAGAAGGCATTGTGGACGGGTGCAGACATTTTTTGTTTCACTGCTAGGAAAAGGTGCTTAAATAAACACTTCCAGTTACATTATTACATTGTTGTCAAACAAGAATATCAGAGTTTTCAAACTGGCTTCAAATTTACGGTATGATGTGATTAGGGTAATGAATAAACAGGAACAGACATTTTTTGACAAATGTCCAGTCCGTTCAACAGCCACACAGTAGCCACAGCTGTTTGACAATACCAGCCACTTGCAGACAATACTTTATAAGGTCAATACAACAATCAACAGCAACTCAGTAGCCACAGCTGTTTGACAATAACAGCCACTTGCAAACAAAACTTTATCAGGTCAATACAACAATCAACAGCTACACAGTATAGCCACAGCTCTTTGGCAATGCCAGCCACTTGCAGACAATACTTTATAAGGTCAATACAACAATCAACGGCCACACAGTAGCCACAGCTGTTTGACAATGCCTGCCAATTTCAGACAATACCTTATCAGGTCAATTCAACAATCAACAGCCACACAGTACCACAGCTGTTTGACATTACCAGCCACTTGCAGACAATACTTTATAAGGTCAATACAACAATCAACAGCCACACAGAAGCCACAGCTGTTTGACAATGCCTGCCACTTGCAGACAATACTTTATCAAGTCAATACAACACTCAACAGCCACACAGTAGCCACAGCTGTTTGACAATGCCTGCCACTTGCAGACAATACTTTATCAGGTCAATACAACACTCAGCAGCCACACAGTAGCCACTAGCTGTTTGACAATACCAGCCACTTGCAGACAATACTTTATCAGGTCAATACAACAATCAACAGCCACACAGTAGCCACAGCTGTTTGATAATACAAGGACTGTCAAGTCAAACACAGTCAACAGCAATTTAGCACCCACAGATGTTTTGACAGGGATCATGTTTCAAACAGTCTATACCAGCAACTTACTGACTATGACAGTACTTTAACGACACAATCAATAACAGTCAGCCAATATTCATTATCGCAGTTGGTCAGTCATTCTCATGGCCAGTTACTTAAGCAGTCAAAACGGGTCAATAATGTAGTTCTATGCATAGAATTCCATCTGGTCAAAAAACGGTCACCTGACTGATTTGGACCCGAGTAACAGCATGGCTGAGTATGCATGTTTGCATCAGAGGGTTCTAATGGGTCAATTACATAAGTTTATGGATATTGCATATAAAGGTAAAAGATGAGCTAGTATTTGTTCTCTTTTTTTCACTGCTAGAAAAAAGGTGTTAAGGACAAATTCAGTTTCTAATAGGCACTTCCAGTTTACATTATTAAGCCATTTTACATTGTTGTCAAACGAGAATATCAGTTTTCAAAATGGGTTCAAATTTATGATGTGATTAGGGTAATGTATAAACAGGGAGAGAATCCTCATTATAAAATATCAAATAATTCTTCACAATGACTCTGAGTTTTCTAGGTTTTGACTGGGTTATCATTATTAAGAAATATCTGAAAGGTAGAGCAACAGGTGGGAGGGAGGAAAGAAATGTTCGAATTAACCCCACAAAGCAGTGCCTCACTACCAGCACTCTTTATTTGTGGGAGAACATACAAGAGCGCCAGATCACCCATTTTGATTACTTGTTTCTGCTTATTATTTAGGTACATGTAACTAAAAACTAACCTCAAGATCAGTAATGGGTAGCCCAGTAAGCAGGTCATCCGTTCATCCGTCGGTCCTCCTCCCTGCTTCCGGTTCCTCGGGTTTCTGTTTGATGAGGCTGTCGGAGCCCTGACAATGTCTTGAGGCAGGCTCAACCTCATCTCAGTAGAGCAATTCCCTCATCAGTCAGTGGTCCTCACTTTGCTGAAAGGATTCAAATAACGAAAGGAAACATTTGAATTATTGAGCTGTATTCGTGCCAGGGCTCGAAAGGGGAAAGAAAACATTGAATTAACCCCACAAAGCAAAGCCCTGCTACCAGAACTCATTTGTGGATAAACATAATAACAGAGTCAGATCGCCCTATAGGCCTATACACAGCCTAAAAGCAGAACAGGAAGGGGACAGACCTCATTTATCCCAGGACAAACCAATAACACCAGTAAATAAAGATGTGCTTCAAACCATGTTACAAGGCTATGATGGCATTAAGTACAAATGTTTAATTCATGGTTTTACAATTGGTTTTTAGGTTTTACAGGCAATCAAAAATTTAGGACATCAACAAATTTAAAATGTGCTCTTCAAAACCCAAAAGTGGTTTCTGAAAAACTAGGTTTAGAACTTAGACAAGGTAGGCTCGCAGGGCGGTTCCAAGACTTGCCACTTGATAATTTTGGCGTTGCACAATCTGCTAGGGTTTTCATGGGATAATTTCAACATCTCATCATCAGGGTGTGCATGATTTGGTCGGATTTCAAACACTGAGTAATAAGTTGGGTATTCCCCTTGCACCAGAAAAAACTGAAGGACCTACAACCTGGCTAACATTTGGCAGGATTGAACAAGATACAATACGGTAGCAATGGCCGCACGGTTACCGCCGGACTAATTACAAAAAGCCATCGTTAAAATTATCAGAATCTATTATAAACACCATTTCAAAATGCCATTTCCAAGACGTACACAATCACTTTTGAATGAAATTTTCGAAATAAAAATTCAGAATTTGAGGATGAGTTTAACGCAAACTTTGAAATTTGAACTATTGAACTTTGGAAATTTCTTCATATACAGGTCTCTTTTTGTTTCTAAAATAAAACTCACCACAACAATTCCAAAGACCATTCACGGTCGTGGTCACAAGGCCGCGGGTTGACGGCTCTGGTCAAGTCTGTAGCTCGGCACCTCGGGTCAAGGCATGGTTGATGACTCAGGCCAGTCCGTAGGACGACACCCCGGCACAAGGCCGTGGGCCGCCACCTCCACGGAGCATGGCCGTTGGCTAAAGACTCAGGCCAATTCCGTTGGTCCGCACCATTGGGTCAAGGCCTTGGGGTCATCAACTTGGGTCAAGTGTTCAAGTGTTCAAGTTGCACAAGGCCGCGGGTTGATGGCTCTGGTCAAGTCCGTAGCTTGGCACCTCGGGTCAAGGCATGGTCGATGACTCGGGCCAGTCCGTAGGACGACACCCCGGCACAAGGCCGTGGGCCGCCACCTCCACAGAGCATGGCCGTTGGCTAAAGACTCAGGCCAATTCCGTGGGTCCGCACCATTGGGTCAAGGCCTTGGGGACATCAACTCGGGTCAAGTGTTCAAGTTGCACAAGGCCGCGGGTTGACGGCTCTGGTCAAGTCCGTAGCTTGGCACCTCGGGTCAAGGCATGGTCGATGACTCGGGCCAGTCCGTGTGACGACAACCGTCAACCGCCACTTACTCGGAGCATGGCCGTGGGCCAAAGACTCAGGCCAATTCCGTGGGTCCGCACCATTGGGTCAAGGCCTTGGGGTCGTCAACTCTGGTCAAGTGTTCAAGTGTTCAATCCAATCGAGATCCAGGCCTTAGAGTCTGCTGAAAACACTGCTAATATCAACCTCTCAAGAAGTGTAGTCACGGTGGAGTCCATTCATGAGGTGGGATGACGTTCCACACGGTAAATAAAGTTGTTCACTGTTGAAGAGTGAGAAAAAGATCCATTAATGGGGGGTGGTGTGGATTCAGAACATGTTTGAGTTAAAAGAAGACCGGAACGAATAAAATTCATCTGGAACACAATTTAAGTCAGTTAACGGTTGCGATGCATATGAACAGGATGCATCAAGAATATCGTCATTCGAAAAACGATGGGCTAATATGTAAAGGTTAGGATCTTCAAAAATGTCAAAGTGGCCCATCTTTAGGGGTCAGGGTCCGCAATAAGCGGTATCGCATCGCAATTTGCGACACATTCGAGGCCGACTGCGACGCAATTTTTAAAGTGCATCGCAAAACTGCTATATAACATTTTGATCATGAAAAGTTGACACAAAGTGTACTTGCCACCAAATTTCGGTCCACTGAATTCCACAACTATCGGACATGGTAAACATCCATCATGTTTTGATTTAGTTAAGCTTAAATACTGAAAAAGAACATCAATTTTGTTCAGCTGTATAAAATCTGTACGTGTTTAGTTTGTAAACAGGTGGCGCGTACGAGACCACGTGATAAACGCAGCTAATAATTTGGAATCGCACTTATTATCCGGACATAAGGAATGCCCGGAGCGTCAGTGCGATACCAAATTATCCGCAGCATGTATCACGTGGTAAATCACGTGCATGATCGGAGGAGGTTGCAGGACGTACGTCGAGATTTTACCTCGTACTTTGAATCTGCTGCGACTGTGCGAGGAATAATTTATGGATTTATAAAAGAAATAACACGTTTGTACACTATCTGGTCAAGTATTCAACAAACTTTATTCTTATTCTTACTCACTCCCCCTCCTCCCCCCCCCCCCCCCCACAGAAGTGTGGTTGGGGTCTACGAACGAATACTTACCTGTAGAGCAATACTACTTATGCATATTCCCCCTACCAGCAGGTATTTTCCGCTAAGAGTTATATACAATAGCGCCCTCCGGCGCCCTACCCATAATACCCCGCGGCATGCGTGCCTCGTGAGCGTCCTCTTTTCTCGAGCGCTAAGTCGGAATACAATAAAGTACCCAAGGCATCGAGAAGAGTGGGGTAGGGGGAAGGGATGCTCTACAGGTAAGTATTCGTTCGTAGACCCCAACCACACTTCTGTGGGGGGGGGGGGGGAGTCTACTTCACTCTACTTACCTGTAGAGCAATACTACTTATGCATAGACTAGCACCGTCAAGGAGGTGGGTCATGCGAGATGCTATTGTGTTTTCACAGGGGCACGTAACAATACGCGTAAACCCTGGATGGGCCCGTCGCTCCACATGTGGGTGGACAAGGCAGCCCAAAAAGGTCGGCATGATAAAGACATTAGTCATAATGGTAGCCTCATCATGCCAACAGAGATGTGATCCCTGATTTTGGGAATCACACGTAATGAACTACAGCCCACCGATACCTACACATAAGAGTTTGGTGGGGTACACAAAATAAAAATTATCATGAAAGGCAAAACATCATGACATGGTACATATAGACACTACAATATGCACATGTACATGTACAGAGCTCAATAAAGAATCAGAGTTAGGAGACACCAATGCTGCATGGTGGGGCTCAGTCAGTCGCCCTCAACACTGTTCTCCCATGCTCTGCCTTTTATTTTGTGCATGCGGACCAATCACACGGATTCTGCCGTTGATATGCCCGTGGTTTCATGGATGACCCTAGCAAACCTTCAGGCAATCTTGTCATGAAAGCCTGCAGGTATGGTGGGGTCACCATGCTAAATACATGTCATGAAAGGCCTGCCTGTATGGCAGGGTCGTTATGACAAAAAAAAACATGTCAAGAGAAGCCTGCTTGTATGGCAGGGTTGTCATAACAAATATGTGTCGCGAGAAGCCTGTTGGTATGGCAGGGTTGTCGTGACAAATACATTTGTAACTGCAAGTGACCGATTCAAAGCGTCCCAGTGCAGCTAATGTACGACGTTAAAGTCATGATTGGCACCAAAAATTCTCCGTCTGGACAAGAATGATTTGATGCCCGGAACAAAGACGTCCGGAGGCACAGAGGGCTCCGACAGTCCTTAGTATAAATCCCTCCTTAGGGAGCAGACATCAAGTCATGATCAGCACCAAAATTCGCTGTCTGAAAACGGACAAGAATCATTTGATGCCCAGAACAAAGACATCCGGAAGCAAAGAGGACTCCGACCGTCTAAGCTCAAAAAAAAAAAAAAAAAAAAAAAACCTTCCTTAGGGATCAGACGCCAAAGTCATGAGCGGCACCAACATTTTCCATCTGGAATGGACAATGATTTGATGCCTAGAACAAAGATGTCCGGAGGTAAAGAGGACTCCGATATTCTTAGTTAAAAAACCTTCCTTAGGGATCAGACGCCAAAGTCATGAGTGGCACCAACATTTTCCATCTGGAATGGACAATGATTTGATGCCTAGAACAAAGATGTCCGGAGGTAAAGAGGACTCCGACATTCTTAGTTAAAAAACAAAAATCCTCCCGTAGGAATCGGATGGGCACACTCGGTTCCCATCAGATGTGGTCTGCCTCTATTATACAGAAAACAGTTCTTTACTACATGTATACCAAGAAGTAACAACTGCTTACAAAAAAAAGGCAACCATAGGAACCAATGAAACAGATGTGAAATTGTTCACTGGTTCACAGAACTCTAAAGATCTCTATAACACCTTTGGATAAGGTGTTGAAGAGATCCTGCAATTCAGGGGTGTTAAAACATCCCCTTAAGTTAACTGACACGGACGTTCAACTGACTAACATTAAGTAATCAACCGTCATGTTAGAAGTCCCTCAAGTGCAGGCTGTAAAAGCCATAGCTTGTTTGAGAAAGGTCTGATGTGAACAGGAGAGCATTACAGCATCCAGTACATCTGGAGAAATTCCTGCGGAGCTGAGTGAAGGAAACCCAAGCTGTGCTGGAACAGAATATTGTTCTGCTCGGAAGAACATTTGTACCTCCAACTGGTGAACCAAGGGAATGGTTATAGCCCTGGAAAACCAATCAATGGGGTCAACATGGAGTTAAGAAGAGGACCTCGTCGTCCTTCTGCTCCAGTTGATTAAGTACCCGAGGGTTAAGAGGAAGACAACAGGAAGGTGTATATA